CCTGCAGCAGGTATGCAATAACATTTAAAATAGTAATTTCTGGCAACTGACAACACAACAAGATGCCATTTTTAGCCACTTGTATACAACCCTGTGCTGGTTTTGACTGGCCACCTCCAGTTGTCGGTTCATTTGCCTGCAGCTAACGTTGACTTAACTGTGACATCAGCAAAGAATGGTTTATTGAACTTAAATTAATAAAATAAAAATACCTAGTTTGATATTTAACAGAGCATTACAATATTAAACATTTCTGCTGCTTGTGACTTTGCTGGAGTTACATTTTGTTAAAAATAAACTTTAAGCTGTTCATTAATAAGAATGGTCCCTCCTCTCCAGGTCCACAGGGTCTGCGCTAAATGACTGTAAAACTCATCTATCGTCTGAATTAAATGCTTTGAAAATCACCTTCTCTTCATAGTCTTTCTACTTATTAGATAATAATCAAGTCATGCATTAAAATATTGAAAATATATATATATTTTGGTAATTCAGTAAAAAAAAATGTGAATCTCCAAAGGATTCATTAAAATGTGCAAGTAGGCATGAAGTGATCAGCGTATGGAAAAATTGGTGCAGAAATATCCAGTAGAGAACCATAAAAACCATGAAGCTTATATACTCGGCCGCTCACCTTGCTGTCTGTATATACTGTGACCCTCCAAGGACCTGGCCTACCCGAACTAGGTCCTTCAAAGGCCATGAAAATAAAGAGGCCAGAAGAGTTGGGGTATAGATTCAAACAGATCTAGCCTTATCCCCCGTCATCACCTAGCGCCTGTGACAGCTGACTCAAAAAGCAGGTAAAGAATGGATGCCGAACGTCTTACTACTCTTGTACGTGCTACTTTCATTTTGAGGAGCCTCAGCAGCAGTACCATTATCGCACATATCAGATTTGTTGTCCCTGCACTGCAGAGATATTGGAATCTGAGCTGAAATATCAGCCCAGGGACAGATAAAAGCTTTCACTAAACCAAACAATACCTACCACATATCTGACTCAATAACCATTTAAAACAACAATTTTCATTGTTTTAAGTCAAAATTATTTATATAGTTATTAATTATTATTTAAATAGTTATTTAAAGTTATTAGTTAGTTATTAATTTAAATAGTTATTATTAGTTATTATATAGTTATTAAACTGTGCTTGAAATATTCACCACTGTTTGTTGCCTTTTCACTTTTTCCTCTTTTTCCTCTTCGCAATGAATCATGGGATACCCTAGATCAGCGGGCCCCAACCTTTTTTGCGCCACGGACTGGTTATACCATGTCCTCCTCCACTGTGCGGTGCCTGCCCCATGTTTGTTATTCGTCACCGTTGTTGGGAAGCAACAGGCTAAGGCAACAGCAGGACGCTGACAGCAAATCCCATAATGCTTTGTGAGGAGAGTTCTTTGCGCAAAGCATTCTGGGATATATCTGCCTTTTCTGAGGACGTTCTTTTCTTCTTATTCACTACGTAGCCACTTTTTCTCCTACGACCCTCGGCCATTTTCAAAGAACCGCGGTAAGAAAGTTGAGCTTCAATGACTGTCTGAAACCATAGCTCACCACACATATACACCTGAAAGTGCTCATGAATGTGCTCAGAAAAATATAGCCAACAGAATGAGCACGTAGGACGGCCTTAGGTAAACATATCATCAGAATGATTGACAATTAGGAGGACCACTTATTTAGATGATCCTCCCAGAAATAAAAGATTGTCATCTATACCTTTAACTGGCCGTTTGAACAGATGATCACTACTTTCTGCTCCCTGTTGGTCAGGTAACTCCGCCTCCCTGCCATCTTTTTTATTTGTCGCTGCCATGATGCTTTGTTACGAGAGCTCTCACAAAGCAAACTAGGATATATCTGCTCATCTAGTTACCATGGATGATCACTACTTTTCAAGGTGCATTGTGGGAAATTTCGAGTCACCTGATTTTTCATCCACTAGATGTTCAGACGCTCATCTAAAATGGCGTAATCACTATATAGGGCCCTATATAGTGAATCACTATATAGGGCCCTATATAGTGATTAGGGTGAAAGTTTGAACACAGCCCGGATCTGTCTTTCCAACCGGGCATAAAGAAGGCTGCATTCGAAGGAGTCTTCGAATCCCAATGGGCCACAGCGCCACACTATGACATAATCGGCTGAAGAATCTGGCCTTCGGAGGACACAGCTGCTGAATTCAAACTCAACCATTGACAGTCAAACGAGAAGGGCTAATCACAAGAAACATGCTGCAGCTGAGGCAGAGAGAAAGGCACGGCACCTGAGGAAGAAGTACTAATTTAAATGGAGGTAGCCAAATTGAGGCCCCGTCCACACGAAGTCAAAACGAACACGAAACGCTGATATTTTCCAAAACGTTTGCCGTAAAGACTGAGACGTAAAATAAATGTGAGCGTCCACATGAATGCATGAAAACGCTGCAAAATGTATGCCAGGCCTGTAAGTGGCGCTGTGGTGCCAAAGCAAAAATAAGCGACGAAATGTTGGGCATGCGCACTAATATTTATACATGGTTGCCCTGCGGGTCCATTTTCGTGGTTCAGTCAAATTCAGGTGCTGAACTATGTCGTCGATATTGCTCTGTTCTTCCTGGAGATATTCCAGAAGAAGAAGATTCTGTTGTAAGCCCAACAGCAGGGTGAGTAGCATTAGCAGCAACGGCGCCATTGTTGTTGTGATACTGGTCGCGCATGCGTGTTTAGAGGCGACGCTATGACGCATGCGTGTAAAAAAAAATATGCGGTTAGGGCGTAAAGATGGAAACGCGAAAACGGCGTTTCGAAATCTTCCCACTCTGAAGGCTGAATAAAAAAAAGATCGTTTACAGACCCCCGAAACGCCGGCTTCGTGTGGATGAGAGGCTGGTTTGGTGAAAAATTTGTGCGTTTAGGCCAGGGTTCGTCTTCGTGTGGACGGGGCCTGAGATGCACAGAAACCCAGGAAAAAAACTTACAGAAATCTTTCAGAAATAGTTCTATAAGAACAAAAAGCACTTAATAACCTAAGAAATTAAACATAAAGCATGAACCAACAAAGGTTTACCATGGAAAACCCCTAAGTACAAATTCTCAAAAAATCTAATCATTACATGAGCAAAATAATAAAAGGTCAATCTACTAAATATGCCTATCAGTCTATAGTGTGTTCCCTTTTTTAATGAATCACTGCATTAATGCAGCATGGCATGGAGGTGATCAGACTGCTTAAAGAGGCCTAAGTTAAACCCTTCTGCATTATGGAGTCTGTTGTATCTTATATTCAATACTCTATTTATCCTCTGCAGGATTTGGGTCACACAAGTTTTCTGTTCACTTAAGTATAGTGGTACCTTGCCATTATAGCAGGTAGTACTTTTATCCGTGGGGGCAGTTTGAAAAGTAAATCGGCATCTCTATGTCAGTTGTCATCAGTGAGGCATAAAGTGCTACTATTGTTTTCTGCATCGGAAGATGGTATGGTTCTCTAAATCAGCCTGGGAAGCTGAATCCAAGCTGCTCGGATTCTGTGCTCACTTCCAGAACCCTGGACATAGATTTCTAAACATAAAACCAACCTTATCTTAATCTGATTAAGTCAAGTCCTATTAGTTCAGGAAAGATTTTGGAGTTTCTGAATAAGGCATAACACTTTTTGTTTTCCAAGAGCTCCTACTCCAGCTGCTGTCTGTAGTCTGAGAATCACATATTTCTAATTTTCATTTTCCGTAATGCATGACTTAAATTATCTGAGAAACTACACGCTGGTGGCAATCTGTCTTTTTCCTATTGAATCTATATAATATATTAATTTCACTTTTAAAATTCAATTACTGAAGTTAATTAACTTTTCTATGATGTTCTAATTAACAGCGACGGACCAGGAATGTGAATTCGGGCCCCAAATCAAATTCAGCTTGGAGCCCAATACGTTGATGTTTAAATTACCCCAAAAATATATATACATAGATGAAAAAAGTAGATTTTTAACAATAAGTGGTCTGTATTGTTTAGTTTATATCTCGCTCTAAATGATCCATGTGCCTCATTTGGCCCCTAATGTGTTTTTAAACCCTGCCTTGTGCTCTTTAGGAGTTTCAGCGGAGCCTTCTAGGTGTGTGCGTTTCTCTCCGGGAACGTGTTTGTGTGTGTCTCCGTGTGCGCGCGCAGCCAGTGCCGTGCGCTGAAGGCTTATGGTAATTGCGGTCTCCCGACTGGCCTTCTGGGTAGAGTCTGCGCGAGTGGGAGTGGAAGCGAGTCGCTCGGTCTCGGCAGCGTTCATCCATTCTCTCTCGCTCTGCGTGTGTGCGGCACTCCCCGTAATCACACAGCTCTGTGTGCGTCCTCGGAGCGAACCGAGGGGCTCCTGACACGAGCTGCTCTCTGCGACTCTGGAGGAGGAAAAGAGAATCACGGGAAGGAGCTGAAAGAAAATCAGAAACTAAACAGGATAAATTTTCTCTAAAGCTTTTTTTGTTTGGTCGTCGCACGGATTGGAAGCAGAGAGGTGGGGGGACGCGCTGTGAGGAGCGGAGCGACGCAGAGCGGGAGGAAAAGGGGCTTTTTCCGAGCACGGCGTGCTCAGCGCAGACCCAACATGGCGCTGCTGCGAGGTACGGACGAGCTGATTTAATTTCTCCACCAGACTCATTTCACCACCTTTATTCTACGAGGGTCTCGGAACATTTTTTTTTTTTATCTTTATGTCTCATCGGACCTTCGTGTGGATTTTTTTCAGGACCCCCCCTCCCTCTTTCGGCGCAGGATCTTTTTCTAGCTCTATGGAAGCTCCTAAAAAGTGCGCTTTAAATAGAGACTAAAGGATGAGAGTCTGTTGTAGACAATAGAACAAACACAGAGGGACTTATTTATAAATTTAGCTTCGTTTCGTGACAAGTGGATAACCTGTTAGACACTTTTTTTTTCTTGTCTCCTCCTGGTCGGGATCGTTCGTCTCCAGCATTTTGGACCAAGCTCTGCGTAAAAACAGGACAAAAGAATTGAATCAAACTCTACGGAACTTGCACCATTTAATCAGGTGAGCCAAAAACAAAAGACTAATCTGTGTTTTATTTCCTCATAAGCATATGTGAAATCCCCCTTTTTTCCGGAGCCCCGGAAAAAAAAAGAAACGTGCTCAGTCCTTTATAATTGTCCTCATAACGGTTTGACTGCTTTACATGATTCATTGTGATTTTCATGTGGAGAAAAAAACCCAAACGGGCTTGATCCTGATCGCGCTGATGTGCGCAGGGACTGTGGGAGAGGATCGGACCACTTCTAAGAATAGCGCATAGGGTGGTCTTTGTGCGTTTCGGCGGGGCAGCGGCATGTGGCTGATAAACAGCAGCGATCCGAGGCTCCTGTCAGCCGGGCGGAGGTGAGAAGGACGTCCCAGAGATGAGCGAACTTGAAAGTGGCGCCGTCCTTGGGTTGGTGTTGGTTGTGGTGGTGCCTGCTCGGGTTTTTCGCACCCCTTTGTGTGTGTGTGTGTGTGTGTGTGTGCGTGCGCGTGAAAGAATGCCTTTGAGGGGGGATGGCGCGCGTGGTTGTGCGCGCACACGGAGCTTCTGCGCTAAACAAGGTTACAGGAATCCAGCCTCGCCCTGAAGCAAAAGGCAGAGCAGCGCTCCTCCGTTGAGACAGTCCGGTTCAGTTGGAGGGCATCCCCCTCCTGTGCGCCCCCGCTGCTGCTGCGCGGTGAGGAAAGGCTTTGTTTGGACAGATCGGACCCTCATCAGTCCCACAGGCATGTGGAGTTGTGCACCGCTCACCTTCCTGTCTGTAGAAGTTGATGAAAACCGCTCTGGCTCCGTGCCGCCACCCCCCCTCCTCTCAGCGTGTCTCGCAGGTGTTCTCGGGTCTGACTTTATGCGCTGCAGCTTGTTGTTTCTCCTCCCTTCCTTTCCGCACGCAGTCTCTCCCTGCGCGCAGGATTAATGGACACCCCTTATTCTCCACAGGATCCCCGGAGCTCCGTGATGCCTTCCCCTTTCTCTTTATATCCAAACAACCTAGTTTCCAAACAGCCATTTATCACTGCCACTGTAATTTCCCTAATTGCTTGGCGAGTTTCGCGTAGTTTCCAAAAGCAGTCTGGTTTTTATTTTATTTATTTGTCGCCGTGGAGCGCATTTTGCAGCCTGAAGTTGCCGTTTAATTGAAATGAGAGCCGCAGGGCTTGTTGGATGGGTTCCAAACTGAGAGTTTAAATCTCATCTGCAGGCTAGGCAGACTGCTTTTTGACGATACCGTTAAGCATGGATCTTTTTTTTATGTATTTATCTTTCATGTTCGGGTAGGATGGAGCGTCAATCCATTAATTAGGGGGACGCCCACCCCCTCTCAGGTAGATCGATGCGCTTTCATATTGGCTGGCTTTAGCTCAGTGACTGATTTAGTAGCAGCGACAGAAATAACTCTTCATCCTTCCCGGCGGCCAATCTGCACAGATTAGACCGTATAGGCTCTATATAAGAGCGCGCGCATAACCCACTGACAGATTGGAGGAACAGGATCAGGACCTAGCGTTTATGGGACGTTTCCAAGGAGCAGAGAAGGGGGGGATTAACTAGTGGGGGGGCGAAGGCTACTTCAGTGGGCTTTGATGCAGAAAGGGAGCTTTGTTGTTTGGATTAAAGCGCGGCCCCAAACCTTCCAGCCTGATGATTCTCTGAAATCAAGCAAACTTACTTTAGATATAGTTTGTCACAGAAAACAAGCAGCCACTGGAAATTTTGATTTATCAATAAGTCTTATTTATTATAAGCGCATAAGCTTTGCGTGATGGCATCAGGATTGGCAGAACAGTATTTCTTTTGTTGTGCTTTTTTTTATTGTCCGTTAAATGAAACCCCCCCCTAAACGTGTTTACACTCATTGTTTTGCAAAAAGTTGAGCCTTATGCAAAAATACTGCATGGATTTCAGGAAGAATTTGGCCCAATAAAAAAAAAAAAAGCCTTTTAAGGAACCAGAGCGGATTGAGCGTCAACATCTGTTGATTTGCTCATTAATATTCCTATACTGTTTTTCTAGGAGTTCGTATTGGTGCCATAAAGTAAATACACCTAAAGAACCAATAGTGCACCTTTTGTGAAACCCTGGTATAGGTGCCCCATACTTTATCCCTCTACTGGGTTTATCACTATGTTCATTTGCATGTGGAAAAAAAACACCTGGTTTTCTATTTTAAATAAAAGAGAGGATATTAGTGTGGAGAAAAAAAATACTTAAGTTTGTTTTTTTAGTCATTTTGAAAACATTCCTCCCTCCAAAGTTCTACATCTTATTTGGACTCTGATGGACCCGCGTAAAGCTGAGAATAATTAGTGCAGTTTTCCATCCTAAAGCACGTCTCCTGTCACATTACATTTCAGCAAAACCTAAAAAAAAAAAAAAAAAAGTCGACTGCCTCATGCTGTGGACGCCCGAAAGCACAACACTTCACATTTTGTGTGGGCCGAGTTTATTTTTAGCGCGGCCCCGTCGGACTGTTTTGCGCATCATTTTTCCACTGAGCGCGCTGTGAAAGTCGCTGTGGGGACTGATCTGTTCTCCAGGTGTTAGAGCACAGACAGGGAGGGAGCTTTGGCTTTTTATTATTCATTTCTCTCTCCTTTGCACGTGTTGGAGGAGTTATCTCTCTTATAAGCATTGTTTATGATTCAGATTTCATTTGATTCTAATATCTGGGGGGTGAGATTTAGGATAATATTCACCTGTCGGTTTATAGTTTGGATTCGTAGGAGTTTGTCTTGGATATTTCCGAACAAAGAGGACGCGCTTTCCAAAGATTTGTTGGATCTTTGTGGTTAAATGTCACCTGGATGCAGCTCCGGCTCGGTTCCTGCTCCTGGTGGGTGGGGTGGGGGTCGGGGGCGCTCATTGTCATGGTGAGTGATGTGTGACAGTGTTTGTGTCAGCGTGGTGCTCCGTGAGAACCTGCTGCGTTAAAGAGAATGGGAACAACCACACCGCCTCCATTCTAAACCCATTAGCCTCATGTTTGTCCCCTTTTTTCTAATCTGGGATCAATAGGGACCACGGCGGGGGGAAAATTACGCACGGGGAGAGCGCGTCGATGCAATCACGGGACGGGCTTTTTGCTTATCAAATCCATTGTGTCAGAGGGGGGAAATGGGGATAAATTAGTTTGAAAGAACAACTGATGTTCTGTTTTATATCCAGACGGAGTCAGGAGGGTTTTTTTTTTTTTTAATTGTTGCCATGCTTCCCAGACTTCAATCACGCTTGGATATAAAACAACAGACTCGTCGCTGCCGGCGCTGCGCTGCGCTGCTGAGGCGAGATGCATGTGAACAAGAGCTGAGGCGCGACAGAGAGCCGCGGAGAGATCGGTTTTCCAGGCGCTGCGCTGCTCCCGGAGGAGACGTCACGGTTTGATTGAAGCTATGCTCCGCGTTGGCCTCCCGGGACTTGGCGATGAAACAGGAGAACCTCCCTCCTCCTCCTCCCCCCCAACACACAAAGCCCTCCATCTCCCTCCTCCCCCTCTGTGCTCCACAAAGCTTTTTGTTTCGACGAGGTCTGGAGCGCACGGGTCACTTCCCCGCAGAGATGTCAGGGCCCCCAGCGCTGCTGTTTTCACCCAGCGCGCAGGGAGCGCATGGAGACGGAGCGCATTATCCACGAGCACAGCTTCAGCTTGGCATTTTCAGATCGGATCTCACTGCAGCCGAAAATACATATTAGGATGAATTTGTTGTCGCACTTGAATCGTAAACATACACAAAATAAAACTATTTTCGTCGTTTGGGCAGTTTAATCCGAGGTTGGAAAATGCAGATGGTTTTTCTTTGTTCCTCTCTTCATATCGTTCAAAGTCCTTGGTCATTTTCTCTAGAAGACAAAAAACAAACAAAAACAAACAAATGCGAGCCTATTTTCCCTTTTTAAGCTGCCACCTAACCTTTACTAATCCCGCCCTGGTGTTTCAAGGATCTCTAGGTGTTCCACGCTCTAAAAAAGCTCTCACAGCCTTTGTAAAAGAAACAAGCCCACAGCACCATAGAGCCTCCGCTATGCTTACCAGATAACATTTATTGCTCTGTCTTATTTCACTCATTTGACCAAAGTACACGATTCCAGTCGAGGTTTATTTTAGTAACTTGAACCTTTTTTGTTTGATGGTAGGACAGAAAAGGCCAGCACGCCTCTTCAACAGGGTTTGCTTAACGATGAGCCTCAATCTGCCAGGATTTGCAGCAGTTCTCAGGGAGATTTTGAATTTTTTTCAATCCCTATACTTCTGTGCTCAACGCAAATAATGTTTAGAAATGCTCTTGATTTTTTTTTCTTTTTGCACCAAAGAAACAAACTCCTAAATTGCCAATCAGATACAAGAGACTGATAAATCTAATCAAAATTATATAGAATTTTGGTTACGTTTAGATTTAGAGGGATAATTTTAAGGATATTATAATTGTGCTGGGTAATCTTTGTTAGAAACTATTTAAGTTTTTTTCTTCCCAATTGTTATCAGAGGCTGGCAATACCGTTTTAGAGGAGTTTAAAACGTAAAGTTCTTTTACTCATAAGCATGGCACCAGATAGAACATGTGCTGGTGAACTACAAATGCTTTTAAATACAAAAACTTAGCACTCCTCCTCAGATTGCGCTGGCCTATACTGGCCTCACTGTGGCCTATTGGAAGATTGATTTGACAGAAGAGCGTTGATGACATGCACCCCTCCCCTCCTCCACAGCCCGTACAGGCACGGTCTTGATCAAGGCTCCTGGTTTGTTTTTAGACCTCGGTGCCTCGGGCATCTCTGACGAAACCCCACGGATTTTTTTGGGCTGCGCAGTGGGGAGGTAGCCAGCCAGTTTATTGCACCACATAGCCTTCAAAGCTGGAATGTGTTATCTGCTGTTTGGATGGGCTTCATGTTGGCTGCAAAGCTTCTTAACCTGAACTTCTGGGGCCTTTTATACCAAAGGGCCAATAGGATACCTATGGGGCACCTATGAATTTATTCTGCGTTCTTGTTTTTGCTGTGGAAATCAGAAATAAGA